CTCAGCATTTGCTAAAGATGTTTTGAAACGCAGGCCGTAATCCGCAGTGGCCATCTACCAAAAGGTGAGCCCCCCCAAACACTGCCAGGCAGGACAGGGTCCCTCCATCTTCTTTCTTTCCTTGACTGGAAATGTGCCATGGGGATGAAGAAGAGGAGTTCTGGAATATCTTTTCTGTCCACAGCCTGCTCTGTCGCCTTCACTCCCGTTTGGACTTCTAAAGAAATGCCCAGCTGATGGCCCTGTGACTATTGGCAGGAGCAGAACTCAGGAGTCACAGCATCTCCTGTCCTGGCTGCTCCTTTTCCTGCAGCATTTGGTTTCTTTTTCTCAGTATCAGATACACACTGGGCCAGTGGACCTGGAAAGCTGCATGGAATGGAGAAAGAACAACAGCAACACACACGCACATGTTGAATGTTGCCAAACTTCTTGTAATGCTCACTTAGAAATGTCAAACTTTCCTTTTCCTTGATAAACAAATTAGGGAGCAGCATTCTTTTAATAATGTACTTGGGGCGTAAATCAGTGGCCTCAAGTGTCTATCTCATCTAGTGGTGGGGAAGATGACATGAGATAATGTTTAGAATTGTGCCTGATCATAGAAAACACAATCCATGTTGATGCTGCTTTAAATTTTTACGATTGCTGGGCCTCCCCGGTGGCGCAGCGGTTGAGCAATGGGTTGCGAAGCTGCCCTCAGCCTCTGCAGCGCCAGTTCGATCCCCAGCCACTGGCGAGGGTCCCACATCGTGTGCAGACCTCCCCTGCCGCCCGCTGCTCCCCTCAGCAGTGTACTTCGTCAGTCTGCCTGCTCTGCTCCCTGCTCTGGCTCTGGTGAATTCTCTCACCCTCCCGCGCTTCTGACTGTACCCAGTGCTTGTATAAATAAAAATAAAAAAATAAATAAAATTTTACAATTGCTGCTACACTACTATCTGTTTACATTACATTACAGAAAATAAGTGTCCCACACAGATATGTTTGAAAGTAACTTTATTAGATATCAGAATCCCCGTGCTAAATTACCGATGGTAATAGTAGAAAATGCTCATTTAAAAAAAAATGTTTTATACAGCAATTGCTATGTGCCAGGCACTGTACAAATATTAGCTTACTTTACAACCCTTTGAAATTGATGCCATTATCAGCTTTCTTTCAAAGTGGGTAAACTGCGGAAGAGGGAGCCTAGGAGGTGAGTTCGCTTAGCTGGAGAGGAAGGAGCTAGAATGCAAAGCCAAGGACTTTGGTTGCAGAGTTCCATGCTTAACCACTGCCTCCATGGAGGCTCCACTCCCAGTGTGGCACTGCTGTGCTTATTTGTGGGCACATGGCATTCCAAAACAAGAAGAACTTGGATTTAAAAGCCAATGTAAAAATCAAAATCAACAAGCAACTATAAACCGAAGACACACTACAGGGGCGGGGAGGAGGGAGTAGGATCAAAACAAGGGTGGTGGGAATTGTATGGGGACTATAACCAAGATGAAAATGCATACATTGTGCAAAAATGAAAAATGATGTAAAAATATATAAAATAAAAAAATTATAAAAGAAAGAAAAATAAAAGCAAATGTAGAAATAGAACCCTAATTACATAAATATCTTTGAAGCACTACTGTAAACAGTCTACTATTTCAAAAGAAAAAAGCACAGTTGAAAAATTGTGTCTATTGAGACAGTATAAAATAAATCATTAGAAGAAGGAGATTAGAGGTAGTATGTATACCAACATGTACATTCTCTGTGTATAAATATTTACAAATATTTCCTATTTCTTGGTTCTAGTCTTGTGTATATGTGTATTTGTAACATCGCATGCAAATGTAAGAGGATTTCACATCTGGCTAAAATAGCTTTTCAGTGCTTCACTTTTTGTTTCTTGAATTTTTTTAACAAATGAGTCATTTCCTTGTGCAATTACATATCGCAGTGACAACATAGAATATTTTTCCTAAGCTAAAAAAATGGGTGAATATGATGATGACATAAATAGATATTAACAGGACCTCTTACATTTAATCATATTATATCTCAGTTGCATCCTATTAAATGTTGCTAGTCAGTGCTTGGACATATAATCCATTATTAAGAATGATGATAAAGTTTACATGCGTGAAATGATTCATAGAACTCTTTCTGTGTTATTAAAATAATCTCTTTAGGCATCATCCTCTGTATCAATTGGTAGTTTGTTACTTAGTGTTATAGTTTGGACTGAACCGAAATAGCTTAGTTTATAAAATGAAATCCTTCTATCTTCTGAATTATTGAAAATATTACTGATTTTTTCCTCATCAAACATAGCTAGCAACCCACTCAGGCCTGTGTAGCGTTATTGCTCACATGATTTGTTCCCTTCCTTGTTCATTTGCTGTTGGTAATGAGTAATGGACAGTTCTAGCTGAGTTCAACTTTATTGCAGGTAATCCGATAACTGTTGTCAATAGTGAGGTTGTAAGACATGGAAAAACGTGTGTGTGTGTCCACTGAATGAAGACTGATAGTAAACGTTCACATTTCCAGGTATTTATCACTGCTTAATATCATTTTTCTCTCGGAGCAAATGAATCATTTTAAATAGAAGCAAACTGATCCCCCTATTAGCAAGTCTAAATCAGTAGAGCAACATCTATTTTCAGAATCTTTGTAGCTATAAAGGGATCTTTACAGTTTGCAATGCTTCACCCCATCCCAAAATGACAGCATTCTGTTACAAATAGCTTGCTCGGGACTTGGTGCCCACGTCTCTATTGTGGAACCTTTGGTTGGGAAAGCCGACAGCTGGGAGGAGCTCAGTGTTTTGAAGGTTATGATCACAGCAGTTTCATAAGTGCTTTATTTCAGTTCTCTTCTGGCTGTGGAAGGGACAGGTGCGGTCTGGTTCTGATTTCACTGGTCTTAATTTTTTATCTGACCTGGTAGTCAATCAAGGGCATGGGAAATTGAATGAGGGAGAGGTAGACAGACAGTGGGTGAGGGAGTTGGAGCTGTGAGGGAGAGGTAGACAGACAGAGGGTGAGGGAGTTGGAGCTGTGAGCTGCTGGGGAGGGGGAGCTTGTGGGGGGGATGCGTGTGTCCATGACGGGCAGTGTAAGCCTGCATGTGCTCATGTGTGCAAGTGTGTGCATGTGGTGCTGTGTGCGTGCATGTTTGCACGTGCACGTGGCCAGCGTGGTGTGTGTATGCGTGGGTGGGTAGTGCCAATCGTGAATGTGCAGGTGTAAATGTGTCACGCAGTACCTGTGTACAGGAGTACATGTGTGCACGCCTGTGCCTCTCCCGCCTCTCCCATGGCAGAGCCGGCGGCTCTGCCTGTCACTTGCACTTCTGTGTGTACGGATGCTGCCCTGTGCAAAATGGATTTCTGAGTGTTAACCATCATGTTCTTCTTTTCCAAAGGGTCTTCTGTAGGATTTCATTTGCAGAGCACAGAGGGCAATATCTAGGGTAATTCCAGGGCTTAGTGGCTGTGATCTTTTGTCAACTCTTCTTGTGAGAGAAATTAAACTTGGTATGAGCACCCACAGTCGCAGCGAGTGCAGCGTCTTTCCGGCCAATGGGTGGGGAATCATAAACCCGACAAGTATTTATGAGAGGGAAAAATGAGATGTCATAATATAACAAGAATATATTCATTAAATCTTTCAATTTCTCAGAAACAGAGAATTCCCACTTCAGTAAAAGGCTTTGAGCAGATTTATCAAGCCTGATATTCTTACTTTTATGAGATTTGACTCTCTATGCTAAAATGAGATATATTTAAAAGGAGGACACCCTTGTCAAAGAGGAAAACTACTAAAAAGGTGGAGTTAATATAATACTAGCCACAGTTCTTTTGATGGAATACTGGATAATACACACAATATGCATTGAAAAGGCCTGAGCAGAAATGTGAGTACGGAGATAAACGATGCCTCTGCTTGTGCGGAAGGAGCAGGCTGACCTATTTCCCGCTGCCTAAAACAGCAGCCCAGGCAGTTTTATAGCCTCTTACACTTGTGAAGCAATTTCGTTTTATTTCAATACAATCAAACAGTGACAGCTTGCACTGAAAGCATTTCCCAGAAATGCGGCTTTCCGAGCTGGTGCGCCCAGGCCTGGATTGTCTGGGGCACGGCCGGAACCTGTGGCTTCCTTGACCCCCGCCATCCCCATCCCCCTGCTTTTGGGCTCTGGCACCCAGAAACGTGCCCTGAGACACAGTTTCCTGACTCTGCTTGTCTCGGACTAAAGAGTAGCAAAGAGAATGTTTTTCCGTGGGTGAGAAAACCGCAACTTCCCTCCGTTTGAGTAGCTGAGAATTGGAGTGGTATGTGGATGGCCTCCAGTGCGGAGAGCGCAGCGGGGCCGCTGTCCACGCCGGCATGTTACACTCTTGACCTTGAAGATAAGCAGCCCTGAAGCCAGTCTGGAGTTGTAGGTGGGCCTGACTGGAGGTCACGCTGAGACGCCCAAGGTCTCAGGGAGCCCGTGCCTGCCTTTGGCAGAGTGGAGCAGTCGACTTGCTGGAGGGGTAGAGACGCTTGTGACCTTCAGGCGAGATTTGCGTCAAAGGGCGAAATTCAGGGAGCAAAATTTGGTATTAATTCCATATTCTGGGTCGTGGACAGTGTCTTATAGTGGCAGGTGATGAGCGTTATTATTGTACGCTGCAAACATCTACGAGTACACCGTAGAATGAAAGTACCTATAATTTTTATAATTTGTATGAGATTTTTAAAAACGTTGGTTAGCCTACATCGAGATCTTCTTTGAGGTAACTTAAATACGGTTTTTAAAGAAAAATTCTTTGTTTTTAGTAACGCGTGGGTTTCATGAACCCTGTGTAGGCGCTGGTGTTAATACAATGGGTTGGGCATACGAGGTGGCTTTCTGGAGCACAGCTGCTGCACCTCAGTGTGTATTCCATGCCTCTCCCAGAGAAAGGTCGTCACCCCCACCACTCTCCCTCCACCCCCTTGACAGTCCCTCTGCCCTTTCCCTCTGGGAACCCCCATTCTGTTGTCAGAGTCCAAGGACCTGCTTTTGTTTTTATCGTTTTCGTTCATTGGCTTTGTTCCTTTAGCTTCCACACAAGTGAAATCACAGGGTTTATTTTTTCCCTTCTGGCGGACTTGCTTAATCTGATCGCCTCGACATATTGTCACACATGGTGAGGTTTCGTCTTCTTTCATATCTGAGTGATATTCTTGTTGTAGATATACGATATCTTCTTTGTTCAGGCAAGGATGGAATCTGTATGGGCAAATGATGACAAGATGATACTAGCTCGCAGCAGCCTATCTTCCAGGGGGAGGTCTTATACAATCCTCGTGGCAACCAAACCAGAAAAATCTGGGGTGGAGACACTGGCAGAATGAAAAAAGAAACAGAATCACTTTGGAAAACCACCCAAAAGAAAGGCAGATAGGAACAGCAGGAAAAAGAAACAACCAGAAAACCACAGCTGAAGTGGCAGTAGCAAGACCTTATATAGCATTGATCACCCTGTTAGTAGACTGAACTCACCCCCTGCCAAAAGACAGTGTCAACATGGATCAAAATACAGGACTCAGTTATATTGTGTTTACAAGAAACACGTACCAGTTCTAATGGAAATGTAGACTCGTAGTGAAAGTAAGTCCCCCCCTCCAACCTATCTCCCTCCTCCTCCCTCCTTTTCAACCTCCCTTTCTCCCTGTCTTGAAGAAACTGTTTTACCCCACTATGTATATGACTCAGAGGTAGAAAAACACAACCCCTGAGGGGGTAACCATCTCTTTATAGCCTTGGGGGGGGGCGGGGGAAGAACGGAAACAATTCTGTAACATCAGGAGCTAGTTGCAGTCAGAATACACTAAAGTAAACCAAAAAGTGGTTACTTTTAATGAGAGTTATAAGTCTATTGCAGAAAGAGTTAAAGAATAAAGTAGACTTGGATACCCCCTCACCCCAATAATTGATAAAAGTGCGTTCCACATCTGCGCTTCCTTGTGAACTCTGTTCTGTCTGTTCAGTCCACTTCTGTTCCAGTGGCAAAGGCTGTGTCTCCTCATCTTTATGTTCCCCTCCCGTGGCATCAGCTCAGTGAGGAGGAGTTAACAGCGATATTTCCTGCAGGGATGTTGTTTCATGTGAAGGAAAGCATTTATTTTACTAGTTGAATATCCACTATCAAATACTACCATGTCTTCAGTCACATTTTAATTGTACTGGCTTCGTTAGTATTTTATTATTCATGATTATTTATATGTCTGTTTCCTCTTTTAGGTGAACACATTGTCTTTTGTCTATAGCCAAGGTCCCAAGCTGCACATTCAGTTTTGGCTTCTATGTTAATTATCCTTTTGCACCACCACCCTGCCTTTGACTAACCTTTGACCAACCATTTAACACCTCTGTGCTGCAGGTTCTTTATCTGGAACAGAAGTGATAACAATAGTTACATAACAGTGTCTTGATGAAAATCAAATTAGCTAATATAGTGTCATTCTATATACTATAGTACTATACTATGCTACTCAAATTTCTGCCTGTTGAAAACATCAAATCTCATTTTTCTCTCTCTGCTTTGATTTTTTAGAATTTGTGCTATTATTATTTTAAAAAGTATTATAAATAAGTACTAACTACTATCCATTCATCTCTTTCTGTTCTAAATTGCTATAAACTGGCAATAAATCATAGATGACATTATTTAATTTATCCCAGCAAAGGTGTGTAAGATTTGAGTGTGATGAAACCCATTTGCATTCAGGTTTAGTTCATATATATGATGGATTTATTTCCCCCACCTTCCCATGGCAAGCTGGCATGCAAAATAAATGCATTCTGGCAGTTGTTGCTAAAAATAAAACATGTACCCTCTCCCCCACTTGCAGACAAGGTCTGTTTAGAAAGAAGGAAGAAGGAAGTAGTTTGTTTACCTGGAGCACTTTGTGGTAGTTTTGCCAGCTGTCCTTGCCATGTGTCCTATCTCTGACCAGATGCAGCTTCTGTCTCATTTAATTAGCAGGACAGTCTGTTACATATGAGGTTTGGAGGAATGAAAGATTTCCCAAGCGCGCTCTGCCTATGATATTTTGGAATGCTGTTATTTGTGGATGGATCTGATAATTTGTAATTTTCCTTGTGTTCTTTGGCATGGTTATAGTGTAGACAACGAACTTTAATTCCAAGGAAGGTTTGAATACCATGGGATAACCCAACTGATAACATGATGGGAGGTGAAGAAGACCAATAGACAGAGATTAATTTGATGGTTTCCCAAATTAGCTGTACATGCCAAAGGAATGGGTTATACGATCCTTTACATTTCACAAGTTTCCTGTCTTATATTTGAGCCCTCTCAGTTTTTAGTGGCTTTCTTCCCTCAGTATTTTCTGTCTAATTGGTATTTATCTTCTTCTTGTATGTTTTCTTCGGAATATATTAGATGCTGCATTATTGCTGTTATGTACCATCCTTTTGTCTTATGAAGTTTGGGAAGCAGTTAATTCTGAAAAATTTGGTGCCATAAAATTAAAAGAGGAGAAAAAAAATAAAACTGACTTTTAAGGAAAAACTTGTTCATATACTTGTTGGCTTATCTTTCAGTGTTTATCACAAAAATTTCAAATAGTGTATTCATATATACATACACACACACACACACAGAATAGTACACTGAACTGTCATATGAGCGCCAAAGAATTTTCAACTCTTGGCTTTTCTGTGTTATTTATTACCCTTCTTTTACCCACAGGCTGTTTTGGAGTGAATGGCAGACATCATTTTATTTCTTTTGTAAATATTTCTCCAAAGATAAATATCTTTGTTGAATGCAATCACAATGTCACAACTAAAACGTTAGCAATAACTCCTTAGTATCATTAAATATATTTAGATATTGTATAAATGTCCAATTTTCTATAAAATCATCTTTTTTAAAAAGATTTTATATTATTTATACAATAGCTGGAGTACAGGCCACAGGCATGGGAGGGTGAGAGGATTTGCCAGAGCCAGAGCGGGGAGCAGAACAGGCAGACTGACGGAATACACTGCTGAGGGGAGCAGCGGGCACGGCAGGAGAGGTCTGCGGCGCCATGTGGGAATCTCCCTGGCTGGCTAGAAATCGAACCGGTGCTGTGGAGGCTGCAGACAGCCTCACAGCACTTCGCTCAACCTGCTGTACCACCGGGGAAGCCCCCTAAAATCATATTTATTAATAGTTTGTTAATTTGAATGGGGATAAAAAAATGACCATGCGTTGCTATTGGTTAATATGTCCATTAAGACTCTTTCATCAATAGGCTTCTCTTCCATTTCTTTCTCCCTGCCTCCCCCCCCCAGTTCGTTTTTTGAGGAAACTATGTATTTTTCTTATAAAGATGACCTTTGCTAAACACATCCCTGTAGTGTCTTTTATCTAACATATTCTTCTTTTCTATATACTTAAAAAAAAGCAGTTGAATCAGATTAAGATTTTCTTCTCAGATTATTTCACTTATTTGCATTATATTCTAATTTATCAACAATGCACCATGTTGTTTCTTAAGTAGACCATTTTAAAATGGTTAACCCATTTTTAGACCGTGGTTCTCAAAGGGTGGTCTCTGGACCCAAATCATCGTCATCACGTGGGAACTTGTTAGATACGCAGATTCTCAGACCAACCCAGACCTACTAACCCAGAAACTCTGGGATTGGGACCCAACAGTCTATGTTTTAATAAGGTATCAGGTGATGTGGAAGCAAGCCACAGCTTAAAAATAACAATTATAAATCACCACTAATCGTTGCTTAGCCATTTGTACTTTTCAACGAATTTTTCAAAAATTATTGGCACTTCTAAAGAAGCAGTTGTGTAAATCATTCATTGTGTATGCTTCAAATAAGTTACTTTAATAACAGTGACACTGTTGTCTTGCCAAATAAGATTAGTCTCTTCTAACCTAATGTATGACCCTAATCAACTACCCATTGAAAGGGGCACAGGAAACCCAGTAAGGAATTGCAGTCATTCATTTGCCAGCACCCTATTTAATCTGACTGCTGCTGTTAACTCTTCTCTGCTGCTCCTTTTCACTCTGTCACAAACCCATTTAACACATAACTTCCCACTATTCCTGAAGGAAATCCAAAATCTGCACTCTGTATCTCAGCGATCTCCATCCGTGTGCCTCAGTTGCATCCATGCTCACAGGAACAGTTGAACCTTTCTGTTTTGCTTACCTTTTAATGGCTTCCCTTTAGAAGCTTTGCCTCCTCTCAAAGTTTCGTTTGCTCAAGTATCTGAGCATTTATATCCACAATATCCCATGTCGGGACTTTGAAAAAAGTCTTCCTAGATTGACTGCATAATCTAAGAGTGGAAGTGAGTCTGGCCCAGCTAGAATTTTCCAGCACCTCATGTCCTACACAAATGCTAGTAGCATTGCATGGATTCATGCACAAGAGGAAGTAGTGTAAAACTTTAAACCTCCACCTCCTGGTTTGAATCTCCTCCTGGCTTCTGTTCGTTGTAATTTCTTCATCATCTAAAATTGGGGATATAAAGCATCAACCTTTTTGTGTTGGTGTGAGAATGAATTAGTTTACTACATGCAAGATACTCCGATGAGGCTCTGGAGCACAGCTGCCTAGCAGTCTCTCAATGCTTTATTTAATCACATTCATTTTGGCTCATGTCTAGTGTGAACCGTGGACAATTCTTAGAGGTTAGGAATTGTTACTTAGGTTTCTATTAACATAGCTTTTAATTCAGTGCTCCCTGAAACCAGGTGTTTTTGAGTGTAGTGATATTCAAAATGTAAATCCTTGAAATATAAACAGAAAAATATGATTGAGAGTATTGTGCAGGACATACCAAAAAACTTCTTCATCATGTATCAAAGGAAAAGGAAGTGTTGTAGTTAACATAAGTGACATACCATGACGTAACATCACATATATTACTAGCCTCCCAAATACTGTGAAAGCAGGTTTACAAAAATATACTTTCCTTCTGTAGTAAGGCTGCTTTGGGTAACAGGAAATCAGTGACCTGTTCTATCATCACTTGCAAATCGTAACAATTACTTGTGTTGAAAGGTCTCAAAGTCTAAGTAGTCGTTAACAAAGGAAGCTTGAAAACTGAGACAGAGTGTTAATGGTCATGTGAAGGTAAATCTAAAAGGCATATTGACAGTTACAATTATTACTTCTGGCAACACGGTATTAGTGACCCAAATATGTAATCCTTTGCCGTTCTTGGTGTTTACTGCACTGTGAGATAAATCAAACAAATTACAAAATACGTGTAATTTATAACACTAAGTACATATCCATTCTAGGTTTTTTTTATTTTTTTATTTTTTTAACATTCTCTATACATTCACTCTATGGTCAGTGTTAAATCACACCCTGAAACCTGAAAGCCAATAGGCTTGTGTTGGGGTTGGCATTACTTGGAAAGAATATTTAATTTCTTCTGGTATCCAGATCAAATATTTTTTTCCCAGGGATTTTGTTATATGTATATTCCTAGTGCTTGTCACTCTTAAGTTCTTCATTGTGACTGTGTTCATAAAGGTGGGTTATTTGCACATCCACTGGGGGATCCTCCAGTTTCTCAGCTGACCCTATGTCAAACCCAGCTTTCCATCTGGGAGGTGAGATCATGAGATCACCATCCCTGTCCACAGTCCTGTAGCTCGTACTCACATTCTGTGACTTTCTCTCCTCAAGACCTCTTGATGAAAGGGCTTAAAAGGACATAGGTTAGGGGCATCCTTGGTGGTGCAGGGGGTTAAGTCTTAGCACAATGAAGCTATAGGCAGCCTCATCAGCTCCTGCAGCATGGGTTTGATCCCCGGCCGGGGAGCTAACCCACATGGCGCAGTAGACCTCTCCTGTCTCACTTGCTGCTACCCTCAGCAGTGTATTTCAGTGGATCTGCCTGTTGTGCTCCCCACTCTGTCTCTAGTGAATCCCTTCACCCGCTCCCCCCATAGCCCCCCTGCAGCTCTGGCCTACACCCCGGTTCTTATATGCATAAATTAATAAAATAAACCTTTGAAAAAAGAAAGGACACATGTTAGCTATCTTTTTAGTGGCCCAAAAGTGTGGGGAAGAGAGGAATATTTCTGAAAAATTCACTTTGGAAGTAATTAAAAGAATAGGAAACTTGGGCCTCCCCGGTGGCGCAGTGGTTGAGCGCTGGGTTGCGAAGCTGCCCACAGCCTCTGCAGCGCCTGTTCGATCCCCCAGCTGCTCCCCGGCCACCGGAGGAGGGTCCCACATGGCGCGCAGACCTCTCCTGCCCCCCGCTGCTCCCCTCAGCAGTGTACTTCGGTCCTTCTGCCTACTCTGCTCCCCGCTCTGGCTCTGGTGGGTTCTCTCACCCTCCCGCACTTCAGACTGTACCCAGTGCTTGTATAAATAATAAATAAATAA